ACCTTGCTTGATTCGCCATGATGCTTTGCCAAGGGGAAATTGTGAAGTTCCTTCGCTGTTTGCTCGAATTGCTTCTCTAATACCACAATGTCATAGACTTAGCTGAAATTGCCTAAGTTATGAGGCACCCTTGCAGCCAAAACTATGCAGAATAATGTATAGTTTGTTCAGCAAGGCGGAGTAGTCTAAGGGGATGGTGGTCTCCGAAACATTCAAAGAGAAGGAAGCAAAAAGAGAAGTTGCTCCAACGAGATAGATATCCAGGAGGGATAAGTCTTGGCTCTTCAGAGGGAGAACCAAGTACAATGGACCGCACATGTTGAAGAGGAGTACCTAAAAAAAAAAACAACTTCATGAAGCTCAACAGACCGAGCGAGCAACGAGGAGTCGTTGCATGATCTCGCTTAAGATAATGCATTGGGGGATGCATTGCGAGATCAAGTGGGGGAGCAATCAAAGGCAACATAAATGAAGGCACACTTGGAGTCGATATGGAGATCGGACTCAACGAAGGGCTGACTCGTGGAATGGTGGGCATGAGGGCCACCTTCAACTCAATGCAAAATGAGGAGTGGAGCAACTTGGGTGAAACTTGGCGAACCCAAGCCGTATGAAGGGAGCCAGCATAGAAGATGAAACGTGGAGTGGAGGCATAGAGCTTTCCTTGGATAGAGGCCAAAGACATGAACTCTTACAAAGGCAAGAGCGGGATCATGTCATTCCATTGGTCCTTCATTCTGATGGAGCGGACTCATCTTGCATGGTGCCAAAGATGAAGGGAGCTTTTGGGCACATGCACCGTATCTCGGAAAAAGCATTTAATGGAGGAACTAAGGCGACTCAACTTGTGGAGGCAAAGTTGGGTTCATAAGGCCTTGACACGGGGTAAGAGGACGCAGAGGCGGGTACTCTTGAAGAATATGCCGTAGTGCTGTCATTCAAGTTGCCATGAAGGAAATGATGCACGCACGGAAGACCCGCCTCTGCGGTACCATGACTTTCACTCCTTGAATCCATAGCCCTTCTTGTCGTCATGTTGTTCACTAAAGTGGAGCTCCCAATAGCTCCCGATTATACCTCCTTATGACATAGTCCCTCATGGGACTATATTCGTGTGTATTGCATTGCCATGAACTGTTCCACCACAATCCGTGCACCATGTCGCCTCCTAGTGACATCTCTATTGCATTATGATCCTCCAAAGTAACTCTAATGATATGGGAGCAAGTTTGCACTTGCAGCCCACCTGCAGCTGCTTGGGGCAAAGGTCCGACTTGCCCCGCCTTGCTTGATTCGCCATAATGCTTTACCATGGCAAAATTACGAAGTTCCTTCGCTACTTGCTCGAATTGCTTAACCTAGCTCTGATACCACAATGTCATGGACTTAGATGAAATTGCCTAAGTAGTGAGGCACCCTTGCGGCCAAGATGCGAACTTAACTTGAGTTGCCTAAGTTGCGATGCACCCATGTGCCAACTTCATGGACTTAGCTGAGATTGCCTAAGTCTTGAGGCGTCCTTGCGACATATGCATCCGCAAAGGTTCAGCTTAGTTGTAACCTCGTACAGGTCCCGAAAGACCTGTAAAATAAAAAGTTGATTAGATTGAAAACGAGCGACAGACAAGTCTCGATGTCTCATAAAGAGGGAAGCTTTATAAGCTTTGAATGGTTGCACAACAAAGGGTCAAAATGGTCCATATGACACAACCTTTATTTACAAGCCTAAAACGACCACTAAATTCAACTAAAATGGGGTTGTTAAGTATTTGACCGTCCCTCTACATGTTGTGCAAAACATGAGCATACCAAAAGACACGAACATACATAAGTATTACATCAAACATCCTGTTTATAAGTTTGTCCATGATAATGTGGATAGCAAGAAGGGGCAATCCCTTTTTTATTGTGTGGTGCGCACAACGAGGAGGATTATACAGCGATTTAAGGAGCGTCTTCGCAATCCATGTCGTGTGGATCGCTACTAGAGAGAAGGATAGTTGACCTCTTTTATTGTATCACATAGATCTATAGGTTTTTGTATGGAAATCTAAGGGTGACATCATATGCATAGTGGAAGAACAAAAAATAAAAATGCCCAAATTTCCCAAAAATGTGTTCGTCGTCGTGCGAAGATTGGTGTGAAAAAACCCGCAAAACTAAAAAAGGAGATCATATATCCCTGAATCCCTACAAATCTACAGGAGATGATGAATAAGGTCAAGTGCCCTCCTCTCTAGCGGTGATCTACATAATAGGGTTATGACGACGCTCCTCAAATCGCTGCCCAAATCTCCACACCTGCTATTTGAGGAGGAGAATAAGAGGTGGCAACCAAGAAACCTCTAGCATATGGGTCTTTGGTTCTTTCCTATTTATAGAGGTCTCATGTCTATTTAACCCTAATGGATCTTATCCTATTGGGTATTGGATCTTTATCCAACTACCCAAGCCTCTTAGTGTAGGGAAATCTAGATGCGACATCACATGCGCAGCGGAAGATCATATAACAAAAACCCCAAATTTCCCAATATGTGTTTGTTATTGTGCACAGATTGGTGTGCAAAACCTGTGACACAAAAACTACATGTGAGATAGTTGTATTACCTAGGGAGATCGTATATCCTTGAATCCCTATAGATCTGTTGGAGAGGATGAAGGAGGTCAAGTATCCTCCTCTCTAACGATGATCCACACAGTAGGGCTACAACGATGCTCCTCAAATATCCACGCCTGCTATCTAAGGAGTAGAAGGAGAGAGGAGAATAGGAGGTGACAACCAAGAAGCCCCAACCTATAGGCCTTTAGTTCCCTCCTATTTATAGAGGCCCCTAGTTAACCCTAATAGATCCTGCCCTATTGGGTACTCGATATCCATCCAATTACCTCATTCTTTTAGGTTAGTGGGTCTCTACCCAATAATCTTTTATTAGCTCTTATTGGATCTCATCCATGAGATCAAATAAGTCATAGGCTTATTGGATATCCAATAAGATATAGGCTCCAACGGATATCTCATATCTGAACCTCTACTCGTCGCAATACTTACCATATGTGTGTGACCCTCTAGGCCTAATATCGAGCTGGTCGTGACTTATACATGTCAGAACTCCTTCTGGCTAAGTGAATTATTATCTCCATAATAATTCACTCGACTCATCGACTACGGACGTACTTTGTCACTACGTCGTAGTCCCTAGACGATATAGGGGAATTCAATCCTTTGGACCTATCTGTCCTCAGTTACTATGTACCTATAGTCCCTTATGCTAGTCATAGGTGCCCAGTAAGCCAATCATGTGAG